ACCGAAAATCGTGTTTTTCAAGTTGTGAACGTTGATCTTGTCACATGTGTCAATCTAATTTCGAAGGCAACGTTGCCAGTTCTTCGAAAATATTATATCAAACCAGCTAAAAGCAGGGCTGGGCTACAGGTCGCAAGTTTTTAGTATATTAAAAACTAAAACAATATCGAGCATTCTCGATCAGTCAGTCACATTTATACATTATACACATATATTTATACATTTATTTAAATATATATCTAAAAATTTTCTATTAATTTTGAAATTTTCCATTATCTCAGTACCTATACATTGATTCGTGTTTTATTATAATTTATGAAAATATTTCAATTCAAAAATAATGATAGATAATAAATCTAGACATGACTTTAAATTTATGTTTAATTTCAGATCGAGAGTTGTGATTGTTTTCTCGTAAAGTGTAGCACAAAACTGTATTGAGTTGTGGAATACTACAGTAAATAAAACCCACTGGAAAAAATTAAAATTTAATGTGAAATTAATAAAAAATTAATAATTTTTACAGTGAACAAGTGTGGGATTTAAATATATGTATTACAATTCGAAAAGTTAATATTTTGTCATAGCTCTACTAGCCGCTAGCCACTAGCTTTTGCCACTAGCATTTAGTGGCAAATTTTCATTTTTGGCCAAGCTTTCCCAGGTTTCTTCAATGATGGTCCATAAATGATCTCTGTTTTGGGGAACTACATTTAATTTTTGTATTTTGTTGATCAAAGTCCCCAAACGTTCTCTATTGGATTAATATCTGGACTTTTAGAGGGATATGGAAGAACTTCAATGCTATTTTCAATAAGGTAATCCCGTACACAGCAGCCTGTGTGGATTAAACAGTTATCATGCTGGAAAATAAAATTACCGTTGGGGAAAATTTGCCTAACCGATGGCAACATCACAGAATCGTCCTTCAATTATCCAACACATTCCTAAACCTGCTTTATACATCCAAGCCCAAACATTTATAGAGAACCGTCCGGACTTATCACTTGATAAAATATAGTTTTCGTTAAACCTATTTCGAGGCGGTCTATAAACCCTAATATGGCCATCATAATGAGACTGGAATACTTTTTCATCAGTAAAAATTACACGGTCCCAAAAATTGACTCGATCATTTAAAACGTAATTTAAAGCGAATAGGAGTCTACTTTGTTTATGTTCCTCGCTAATGTTCTTCTAATTCTCCTTAATACTGTAGTTATAGAAGCATTGAAGTTGGTAATAGATTTTGCTTGCCTTGCCGTATGGAAGGGATACGCTCTCAAATAATTAGTTAATGTTTCATCTTGTTGAGCTGTAGTAATAACTGGTCTCCCACTCCCTCTCCTTCTATCCAAAATCTGCTCGTTTCCCATCTTTTTTTAATGTTGTGGATTGTGGTTTTGCTTCTATTTAACTCTTGAGCCAGTTGTCGAATAGACCAACCATCTTCTATTTTTGAAATTATTCTCGTTTTATCAGACTGACATAACTGACGTGGCATCCTTAAAAATTCACTTTGACAAACTTGTCAAATCTGACTGATGGCAAGCAATATTTTTTATGTTTAATTGTTCGGATATGTTCGGGAAGTTTTCACGCACTGATAACATCTGTAGATACTAAACCAACATTTTTCAGTTATAAGAGGATTTTTTACAGTTATAAGAGGATAATTGTATACTGTCATGTTTTGAAAAGCGTTTTTCGCCCCGGATATTTTATAGTTTATAATCTACGTAGGATACAGTATAATGTTGGTTTTTCACGTTTATCGTTCATGTAATAAATATTAAATTAATTTAGGTAGTTTGCCTGTTACTAAACTTATTGACATAACATACAGTTAACAGTTTGTGTTCTGTAAGTAATTGAAGTATAAAATTACAGTAGATGCAATCCAATGTTCCCTGATCCAATACCCTAAGTTTAAATATCATTTAACATTTTGGACATTAGCTCAGTCCTCTTTCTAGTTATTAAATTATTGGACACGGTTTTTTGTTGTTAATAATAAAAATAATACCTATCTAAAAACTTTATACATTTTTGAACGTTATTTTTTACGTTTTACGTTTTATTTAAATTTACTGAAATTCCGTTGTCTGTGATGGCAACAACGAATTGATTCACGAACCATTGTGTCCAGTCTGAACACAGGTTTACATTGGGAAAAAAAAGTATACCAGTTTTATATAACGAGAAGCTTAAATCCTGATTATATAAAAGAATACAATAATTGGCGTTCACAATTGTAGCAATCTGCGGAAGACAGTATCAAAACGACATAGCTTAATTATGGAAATAAAATAACCACCGGATTCATCTGAGGTGGCAATTCCGATTCAAATCGGACGGTTGTCACGGAGATATGACATTTAAGAATTATCAAAAATGGTTTTGGGAAAACTACAAATCAATACACTTCCGGACACCGTTGTAGTAATAGATAAGGAACTATCTTATAGCAAACATATGTAATAATAATATAAGATGAATAGTCAATCTCTACATCTAGAAAAATAGATTGGCAACTACGACTTAAGGAAAGAAATATCAACATACTTTGAATAATTGTTTTGTGCAGATTTATTTGATACGATTGAATTATATAAGCCACAATGTGTCCACATTGAGATTGATTTGTACAGTCAGAGTACCTATACAAGAAACTTTTCAATTAATTTTTTTGGACAAGTAGAAAGAAAATAATCCCAAATTTTAGAATTAAGCGGGAATTATAAACGTTATACGGGAAAAAACAAAATTACGTTTCTATAATCTAAGTGTAAGGTGCCCAATGGTGAAATATATCTTTTGGATGTCATTCAAAACTCTTGTGTATGCACGCTTGCCATTATTTTTTTCCTTAATTTCGATATACATTATTTCACAAGTTAATTGCTCAATTCAACAGTCGTCACAGTATAATCAACAAATTAAAAATAATCTAACAACAATTTTAGAGTTATTATAATACTTTTCAATTTTATAACTCATTACCAATAGTATAGAATTTATAGAACCAATTTGGTACGCAAAACAATAATATACATTAAAAACCAGTCATTTAAAAAACAGTACGTCACTGCGCCTTAAATTTCTAAATGAAACAGTTATGGACTGTTATTATGATTTACAGAGTTGTCATGTGTAATTTGTATCAACAAATTCTGAAGTGGAAATTAAAACGAATTGAAATATTTGATTACATAGATGGTATTCTATACCAACAAGCCATAAATTCAGATTTTGAGGGTGATTCTGATGCATAAGACGATCTTCCTATTTCCAACCGAATGTTGGCTGGATCCAATACATTACTTCTTATCCAATGATGACAAGGTTGAATTTCTTGATATTGATTCAGATCACTCCATGGATGATAAAGCTTTCCACCGTCAAGTAATAAAAAACCGACTTTTTGACGACGTCGAAACTTCCTCAGGCGAGGACGAAGTAGAAGAGAACCAAGAGGAGAATAGAATAGAAAGAACCAATAGAAAACCAAGAACATTGCACAATTCGAATGCGCCGTTTAACAGACCATGACCATGACCCTGTAAAACCGGTCAATACAAATTCACCATTCGAAGTGTTTTCTTTCTCCTTGAAAAAAGATATTACAGCTAATATAATTAATTACATTGTCAAACCTTTATACTCGACAAAATCGCAATAATCTAGACTTACTGAAGAAGAACTAAAAGCCTTTCTAGGGATTCTTATAATCATGGGATTTCATAAACTACCTAGTTTGAGACATTATTGGTCAACAAATATCAACATTCACTTGTCAAGAGTTTCGCAAATTTTTATGCAAAAACGATTCTTAAGAATTCTTCGTTTTCTTCATCTAAACAATAATGAAAATATGGAAAGAGATCAAAATAGCCTCAATTTTGACAAACTTCAACATAAGGTAATTTATAACATAACTGCAGCAGCACTTTCCAGAGAACTTTTATACAAGTAGAAATGTTGCGGTAGATGAAAGTAAGGTTGTTTTCAAGAGGCAAAGTTCGCTTGAAACTGGATACATGCTCAAATTTGACATATATGAAAGCAAATCTCAATCACAACATGCTGAATATGGTTTAGGGGCTAAAACGTAGAGTTTATAGTATGTATATAAGAGAATTTTTTCTCGATTTTTCTTCTTCTTAAGAACATGTTAACCTATGATTTTTTCTGCTGTGGAACTTTTAGAGGACAACTGAAAAGGAACAAAACAATGAAAATGGGAGAACACGGCTATTCCATGCGTTCTAGTCGGCAGTACAACGTATAATCCACTTAAAATTACTTCAGTTTTGCAAAGAAGAGCGAATGGTGAACAAGAGAGTATAAAGTGTCCAAAAACCTAAAGTGATTAAAATCGCTATATGGTAAGCCGATCTATTCGATTAACTTTATGCTTCTTATCCAATTTCATGGCCAAAAAAAGAATTTAGTGACGCCCTTTTTGACAAATTGTTTAAATTTTCCTTTGTTTTATTTATTTAATACTTTTTGGAGCGATTAGCTCTAGCAGCTATCATCTAATTTCTTTTTCTTCAATTGATTTTGGATACTAAGAATGTCGTACGAACCACACTCACATCTTTTCAGACTCTGAGCAACGCGGTCTCGATCATTTTGTGTACCTCAAACACTGTCCATCGTTTGTTGTGTTACAGTATATGCTCCTCCTACTTGAAATGTATAAAGTATAACATTAAATAGATAAAATTAAAAACACTTTTTACTCTATGAAATATAGAAAGTTTTATCAAGCCTATCTGTGAACAACACAGCCGACGACCAAATAACATTGTGTTAAAAAATGGCATTCTGTGATGTCGGACAATTAACTTTAAAGGAAATAATGCAAACCAACTAAATTTTTTATATAGCAACAAGATATTCGCGAGAATTGCCCACATAACCGTTCATAAATGCCTTCCCCTATCAAAAATATATTAAAATCAACTAAAAAAATCGCTAAAATGTTCACTTACCTCAATGAATCGCTTAAGCGCTTCTTTGCTTAACACATACCCTGCACCGCCACTCATATAACCCTGTTTTACGAAGGGTTTAAACCGACAACCAAAATATATTGGTTCGCTGGGTTTATTGGGTAGCAGCATATACCTTAAATTTTCTAGTATCACATACCTGCAAAAAAGGTGGAAAGGGTTGCATTACAATTTTTACGGAATTTAAATATTAAACATTTTTAAACGCAAGGGAGGCGTTATTCAGTGTTTACGTGTTTGTACAACGAAGCTGAGAGGCGTATGAAGATATTTTTCGAAGTTTTCTAGATTTCGGGATGGCTTTTGACAAAAACACGACACGGCAGAATAAGATTACTAGTAAAAGCTGCAAATATTGATCATAAATATACACAAATTAGCGCTAACTTATAGTGGACTCATCATCCAACAAAATCCCCGTGAAAACCAAAATCTATAAAACAGAAAAATATTTTAAGTTTTTATTAATATTACAAAGTTTTGTATCATATAAAAAACCTAAAATATTAATACATTACATAATTCCTTACATTTTTTACTATTCTGACGATACGGCAACTCTGTGCAAAAATGTCAACGTCAAAATTGCATGACATCAAAGAAGAAAACAGAAAGAAACAAAGAGAAGGTAATATTTCGTGAGCGCAAATGTAATGAAAGAAGTTAAAAGGTGGTGGTTATTTGGGGTGAAAAACAAATACTCGAGTCGGAATACGAGATATATAACAAAGAACTTGAAAAACCGCTTTACAAGGGACGCGGACGTAGAAACATTGCACTGGAAAATATTATAAAAAATATAACCAAAAGCGAAGTTCATGGTTTTTATTTTAGGAACGTAATGTCCCCTTTAAACTCTACTTAAATTAATGCAGATAGGTATATATGGTACGTTAAATAACATATCTTTAAGGGTATTACAAAGAACACATGAACTATACTTTCGGTATGAAAAGCGAAGATCCAGAAGAACTATGGAGTGAATTTAAAAACCAAGTTAACGAAATCTCCACAAACAATGATTATAGAAAAAACTTTATCAAGAAAAATAAATGGATGACAGACGACATCTTGAAATTAATGGAACAACGTCGACTGATAAAATCTAATGTAACAGAATATAGACACCTGCAGAGAAGAATAAAAAAAGAGATCAAATTAGCCAAAGAAAATGGATGAGAGAAAGGTGCCACGAAATGGAGGATGTAATATCTAAACACGACTTTAATGTACACAAAAAACTAAAAGAAATGAGTAATATATTTAAAAAAACGAGTTCCCTATGTGCTTGTTGACAATAATAACAAAATTATTGTAAATGAGCACGAAATAAGAAAATAATGGCAGCTGTATATATCAGAGTTGTTTGAAGATGACAGGAATAATATTGCCGAACTCTACCAAAACTGTACTGACGGCCCAGAAATTATGAAATGCGAGGTAGAACACGCTATAAATAATGCTAAAATTAGAAAAGCTTGTGGTCCAGATGATACACCAACTGAGTTGTTGAAACAAATAGAGAATGATAACATAAAAGTAGTAGTAAGACATTTTAATTCAGTATATATAACACAGGAGTGATTCCCGCAGATTGGTCCAAATCCATCTTTGTCGCAATTCCTAAGAAACACAATGCGAGAAAATGCTCAGAATATCGATTAATTAGGCTAATGAGCCACACTCTTAAAATTTTTTCAGAATACTTCACAACAGAATTAGACGCAAATGCGAAAAAGATCTTGAAGATACCCAATTTGGTTTTAGAAATGCTATGGGAATCAGGGAGGCACTTTTTGCGCTTAACATCCTATTACAAAAATGCCGTGACTGAAAAAAGATGTATTTGCAAGTTTCGTGGACTTAGAAAAGGCATTCGATAAAGTACAACATGTAAAATTAATGCAAATTCTGAAAAATATCGGAATAGATGACAAGGATATTCGTGTCATTAAAAATTTGTACTGGAATCAAATTGCTATCGTAAAAATTAGAGATAACTACACCGATGAAATCCCCATATAACGAGGAGTTAGACAAGGTTGCATTTTGTCGCCAACATTGTTCAATGTTTACTCGGACCAGTTATTTAAAAAGGCACTTGAGAGACAACCATATGGAATAAAAATCAACGGGGAACTACTTAATGTGATTAGATATGCAGACGATACAGTAATTCTATCAGAAAATATTGAAGGTCTTCAAATTCTGCTTGATCGTATTCACGAGGTAGGAGAGGAAATGGGCATTAATAAACTCAAACAAAACCAAATTTTTAGTGTTTAGTCGTGACCCACATCCCGATGCAAAGCTTCAATTGAACGGAGTCCAAGTTGAAAAAGTTCAAAAAATGACATATTTGGGAACTGTGATAACGGACCAACTATATCCACACATAGAAATAAAACGTATATTAACTGTGAATAAAATTACTTTTATGAAAATGAAGTCATTTCTTTGGCATAACAATCTCAGTTTAGAACTAAGGCAAAGAATGGTTAAGTGCTATGTTTGGTCCGTACTTTTGTATAGTGCAGAAGTGTGGACGCTAAAAGTATCGATCATGAACAAAATTGAAGCATTGGAAGTGTAGGTTTATAGACGAATGCTGAAGATACCTTGGACAGCAAGAAAAACTAATGAAGAAGTACTAAGGAGCGTCAACAAAGATAGAGAAGAGAACTACTAAAGACTGTTAAACATCGAAAAATGTCTTGTCTGGGACATATAGTAAGGGAGAGTCGATATAAAATATTACAACTTATCTTTAAAGGCAAAATAGAGGGCTGTAGAGGTGTAGGAAGAAAACAAGTTTCTTGGTTAAAAAACATTCGTGAATGGACTCAGATACCAAGTGCAGGACAATTATTCCATATTGCAGAAGATCGAGAAGCCTTAGCAATGGTGATCGCCAACGTCGGATAATTATGATATGGCACGCGAAGAAGAAAAATGAAAAGCAAAATTGGGAAAGTTTGTTAACACGTTGCCTACCTTAGAGAAATTTGTAATACATTCTATTCACGCCAATGCCATTTCTGCTATATGGTCGAAAAAATTACCGCTCACGCCACAGTGCGAAGAGGTACCTTTATATAGCCTGCAATGTCGGTCTGCCTCAGTCAAATTGACCGAGACGGCACCACAGTCACGTTAAAATTCTCGGTCAAATAGACCTCGCTGACGTGCATAGCAATTTTTTTCGAGACGGCAGGCAACGTGTTAATAGAGAAAGACGAAATAGCGTGTTCCGACGGAGAGAGTATTTACAAAAAAATATTTTAGACCTTTTTACGACAGAAGTTCACGACAGATTTTTAACGAGAGACTTTCAAGCGGCGTAAAAGCACCTTTGGGTAAAAAAAGGTGTCTCATTACTGCTCATACTAAGTGATTCAGGTTTTATATATAAACTGACTATGTAACAAATTTACGCGCCACTATTGAACTGTACTTGCCTCTTGCCGCAGACTTCGCAGTCTGCGATTATGATTTTGAAACGATATCCTGACAATTCTATTGAATTTCTATGGTAATATCTAACGATCAAATTATCGATGGCGGTATACAAGTTAACGATCAGTTCAAAGGGTTATTATAGTAACTTTCCTGTGCTGCGTTAGGGACTCATCTTCAGACATTCGTTGTCGTATAACGTAAGGAAGAAGTTTTTGGTGAGACTAAAGTTCTTGCTATTAAAATTTCTCATTGAACGAGTACAAAATTACAATTACCTCGGAACAAATATTAACGAGTCAAACGAATACACCAGAGAAATAAGAATAAGAATAGAGAAAGCCCGCAGTGCATTTAACAATATGAAACAAATGTTGTGTAGCCGTAACCTAAGCCTAAAGCTGAAAATACGAATGCTTAAATGTTATGTTTTCTCGGTCCTGTTATATGGGGTGGAGGCGTGGACACTAAATAAGCAATGTATGGGTAAGCTGGAGGCATTTGAGATGTGGGCGTACCGAAGAATGTTAAAAATCTCCTGGAAGGATAAGATAACTAACCAAGTTGTATTAGACAGGATGAACAAACAAAAGGAGGTCGTATTGAGTGTTAAAATGAGGAAACTACAGTACCTGGGACATATTACACGTGGGAATAAATATCAACTGTTGCAACTAATTATGCAAGGAAAGATTGAAGGTAGGCGCAGCATAGGTAGGAGAAGAATGTCATTGTTGAGAAACCTCAGAGAGTGGTTTGCTTGCACTTCCATACAATTGTTCCGAGCGGCAGCCTCCAGGGTCAAAATTGCCATGATGATAGCCAACCTTCGTAGCGGAGATGGCACGTGAAGAAGAAGATTAAAATTTCAGTTTAAATGCTAACGACTATAGCCAAATACTCTCTCATGAAGAGATTAGTAAAGCTAGAAAATTCGGTTTCCTAACTTTAACCGCTTACATTGCGTAAAAGATAAAATTAATTGCCTCATATACATTTAATTTTGTTTAAAATTGACAAAAAAAAATAAATATACTCACGTATCATCATCAGCCTTTAAAAACCAATCTGCCGAATCGTAGTAATGTTTGTACACGTACTTGAACGCTTCTTTGGTTTTCAACCATAGATTATCGCGACCTTCCTTTACCGGAAGTGCTACCGACGGCAGTGAATTATCTAAAATTTCGTAAACACAGTATTTATCAAAATCATACGGTACCTATTATTATTTTTAGGTAAAAAATGGTAAATTGTTCTCTCGTGTTATATTGGAGCGATACATATTTTGTTATGGTTAGTGTCAAACATTAAAATGCCATTACGAATTAATGTATTAAACTGTGTTGGCTTTGTTAGATTCTAGAGCTAAAGGGGATTGAATAATATATAATAGGCAAGCTGCGAACCACTAAACAGATGTCCATGACCTATAACTCGATGACAATTAGGCAAATTTGGACCAAAATGTTCGTAAATAAATCTGTACTTTTTCTAAATAAAATTTTTTTTGATTGGGGTGGGGGACCCTGCAAATAAACAAAAGCAAAAATTTTAACGAAATTTTAAATTTAACTCGAAATATGTTACCTCGGTTTAGATATTACAATTTCTAATTTCTAATAATATATATACTTAAATAAGATTTTGAAAAAATCGTATACTCGTCAAACATTGTTTTCTGATTAAAATTGATACTGAAAATTTTGGAATTATCCTTTTTAACCAATTCTCGACCCCTCTGTGGCTCAGTGGTAAGAGCGCCTGCCTTTAAACCTAAAGGTCGTGAGTTCGAATCCCATCTGGGTAGAAATTTTCGTTTATTAAAAATTAATGAATGAAAATAAATTCTATCCATGTGTGATCGGTACTCACCGGAGGGACCGCAGACGTTCGGATACAATTAGCGTGTCTTAGCAAAAGACAATGACGTCGACTTTGCTAAGTATCAAGACAATTACTCTACACACACACACACATTACACTAGGTACCTGACTGTACCATGCCAATGATCATAGTTGTCGAGGCATTAACTCAAAAAAAAAAAAAAAAAAAATTCTTAATTAAAATGTAATATTTAATGTTTTCTGAAAAGTTTTTGATATCCAAATTATGTGATAAAAAGGTATGGCAACCTTCATGAGAAATTCGCAATCCTTTGATAGTCGAACATTTGTTTTATATTGATAAAAATTATCTTTTTTTAACAATTTATTGGCAAGAATAGTAGTAGTAAATTATTCGTAGTTTGCATTTTAACTCAATCAATTTTTTCCTTTTTTCTAATGTATATAAAAGTTTTAAAATTTTCCAGATTAATTTTTATATTAAAATGATTTAATTGAGCTTTAAATTTATTTTAAAAAAATGTCATATTATCTTATTTCAAAATTTATAAATATACATGATATATGAACATTTAATTATTAGGAAAAAGTTTTTTTATTAATAGATATTAAATAATTTTATAAAATGAATTGAATTGAATAAAATGAATGAAAAATAAAGAACCTAAATGTGTACACTGTGGTGGTGGTGCCCACCCAGCTAATTATATAGGTTGCACCATTGCTGTAGCTCTTCAAAAGTTACGGAACAAACAGAAACTTACAACCACATCACAAAACAGGGCAGCAGACATGGAGAATCCTATACAAAACCAACCGAAAGCGGTTAACCAAATCCAAACATATGCCCACATAGCCTGAAACGAGCCAGAACAAGTAGTAGAGAATGATCAAAATTTGACATCAAACATGCTACATATACTAATAAAAAGGATGACCAAGCACGAAGAATTCAATAAACAAAACCTAGAAGGACTAAATAGCACAGAAACGAATAGAAGATAAAATGGTAGAAGAGTTAAGAATATTATATCTTCTTCTTCTTCAGCCTGTGTTCGTCCACTGCTGGACATAGGCCTCTTCCATTTGCTTCCATCGATTTCTACTTTTGGCAATTCTCATCCACTGCTTGCCCGCGACTTGTTTGATATCGTCTGTCCACCTCTTCTGCGGTCTGCCTACTCCTCGCCTGTTCTCTCTTGGTCTCCAGTTTGTTAATCTTTGTGTCCATTTTTCGGGATTATCTCGGGCAACGTGTCCGACCCATTGCCACTTGAGCCTTGCAATACGTTCTGAGACATCAGTAATTTTTGTTCTTTCACGAATGACGTTATTCGAATCCTGTCTCTCAAACTAATCCCTAGCATGGCCCTCTCCATTGCTCTTTGGGTTGTACTGAGCTGCTCTAAGGTTTTCTTTGTGAAGGCCATGGTCTCCAGTCCATATGTAGTTACAGGCAAGATACATTTGTCATAAACTCTACGTTTTAGACACATTGGTATATCTTTATTCTTCAAAATAAAGCTTAATTTGCCGAAAGCTCCCCAAGACAGCTGTATGCGTCTTTTTATTTCGGCTATTTGATTTTCTTTGCCCTTTGAATGGTATGTCCAAGATGTATATAGTGGTCTACATTTTCAAGACTGACGTTGTCAATAACAAGATTAGTTTGTAAATTACTCATTATTTTTGTTTTCTGAAGGTTCATTTTGAGACCTATTTTATTTGACTGCTGGTTTAATTCCTTCAACATTTGCTCCAGTTCCTTGATATCTGTACTAAATAATACTATGTCATCCGCAAACCTCAAATGACTCAAACGTACACCATCAATGTTTAGACCTTTTTCCTCCCAGTCAAGCTGTTTGAATACATTTTCCAATGCTAAGGTAAAATAGAATATTATATATCAGCAGGAAATACTGTTTACTTTAAACAACCAAAAAAATCGATATATGTTTAATATCAGAGATATAGATCAAGAAGCATGTCTAGTGGAAGAGCAGCAGTAATCGTAAAAATTAATCTAATTCAACAATCGTAAAATAGTTTAGAAACACAATCTCATTTTAATCTAATTCACTTCACAAGAAAAAGTATGGAGACTGAAGCCATCCAGCCAGCTTCTTCTTCTTCTTTGAGTGCCTTTCCTATCGGAGATTGGATATCATTATGGCGATTCTAATTTTATTAACTGCTGTTTTGAACAATTCGTTAGTGGTACAGCCAAACCACTCTCTTAAATTTCTCATCCAGGACATTCTTCTACGGCCTGGATTTCTGCGTCCTTGGATTTTTCCTTGCATTATATTTTGTAGGAACGTGTACTTTTGTCCTCTCATCAGGTGGCCTAAGTATTCAAGTTTTCTCTTTTTTATATTCATAATAACTTCTGGATCGTTATTTATTCTGCGTATTACCTCTTCATTTGTAATTTTATCCACCCAACTTATTTTTAATATACGGCGGTAGCACGTAGCACAAAACAAAAAAAAAATGACAATAAACCAATACTTAAAAGATCTGAAAGATGACCAAACCACTGACTACTCGTTGTGGAATGTACAAAAAGAATAAATAGACCAACGCAAGCGAATGAGAATATAGAAAAGTTATACAAATTCGTCCAAATTTTTTTCCCGTCCATTTTATCTTATTATATTAAATTTAATTTTCCTGGGCTATAAAATGCCACTACAAATTATTAACGTAGTACACTGTGTTGCTTTGTTGAAGATTCTAAAGGGATTTAATATTATATAAAGGTAATAATGAACCACAAATATGCCATAGTATGTTTGAACAATCGGTAAAAGTAAAATCAACACCAAACTACACTCTGCGTCATAGAAAACGGGCCGCTCCAAATATTTAAAATATTTTCGAAATTATTATTTATTCCTACAAAATTAAGCATTTATTTTTTTCGTATAATGAATTAATATGATTTTATTTTTAATATGTCTGTGTTATTTAAGTTAAATGGGTTGTTGCGAAAGCAAACCGACTCTGTAACGGGATTGAGGATATTTATAGAACCTATAAAACAAAACAATTTTGAGAAAAAGTTGTTTACAACTTGATCAATTTTTGAGGAAGCGATTGTTTGAAGAAATGTATGATATTGTAAAGCGTTCTAATGAGTTTTAAATGCATCTCAGTATTACAGTAGCTGACTTAGTGAGAAGTAGTCTTGAGTTAATAACAATGGAGAATTTTCAAAAATCGGTTGAAATTGCAACTTTACTGTGAAGTGGATTAAGTCCAATATTAAGACAAGATTAGTTGCAAGACAATTGAATGTTCGTAGTTCGACTGTACAAAGGACCCAGCAACGATTTATTGACAAGATCTCACCTACGATGACCTGGTACGGGTCCAAAAAGGAAAACAACCGCTAGGGAAGATCGCGTCGTCCTTCTTCGTCAGCCTTCGTCGTCAGCCTTTCTACTATTCGGCGAAGATTAAGGGAGCAAGGTTTGACAGCTTGAAGTCCAGCAATGGGGCCCTTACTTTCCCCAGCTCACAAAAGACGAAGACTCGATTTTGCCCGTGAGCACATCAATTGGACAGCAGACGATTGGAAAAAAGTATTGTTTACGAATGAGCGCAAACTGTCTATTTATGGTAAAGGCGGACGCAGTAAGGTGTACAGACGGACTGGAGAACGTTTCGCTGGTTGCACTCGGGCACCACGGGTACTTTTGGTGGTGGTTCAGTAATGTTTTGGACAGGGATTTCTTTTGATGCGCATACGGATCTCGTCGTGATCGACAGAGGTGCGTTAACAGCAATAAGGTACATAACGGAAATCTTACAACATTATGTGATGCCCTATGCTGGATTTATAGGCAACGAATTCCTGATAATTCAGGATAATGCGAGACCACACACGGCAAGGATAGTAACGGAGTACCTTGAGTATACCCTACGAGCCTGCTAAAAAGTCGCGTTAGGCGTCGCATCCTGCTCCAACAACACCTGGAGAGCTTCAGATGGCACTCATTGAGGAATGGGCCATTTTTCCCCAAAGAGATATCCAAAACGTTATAAATTCTATGCCAAATCGAATGAGGAGTCATCCAGAATCGAGGTAGCAATACTCATTACTGAAAATGGATACCAGCTTTTTTTAAATATACAGTAAATTGTTGTTTTAAAAACTGTAAGTTGATTTTTTCAATAAATTTCCTTTTTTTCCTAAATTTTTTATTTTCGATTGATGTTTTACGATAATAATGAAATTTTATACTAAATGAGTTATTGATTCAATATACAAAAAAATTATGGCTCGTTTTATATGACGCGGAGTGTATTTGTTCGTTTTTATC